CATGTCGTAGATACCATGCATATTGTTGGGATAAATTGACAGGGTTGCCAGATAAAATACGGAACACAGTTAAATTTGAACTTCAAGAAGTAAATTTTTTTTGTATAAAAGTATGTTCCAAATAGTATAAGCCTAGCATCTTTAAAGTTGATGGAGTACAGAGAGCATTTATCCAAGTGAGAATTCTTTTTATATATATATTGATTTCAGAGAGGAAGGGAGAGAGAGAAAGATAGAAACATCAATGATGACAAAGAATCATGATTAGCTGCCTCCTGCACAACCCCCACTGGGGATAGAGCCCGCAATCTGGGCATGTGCCCTTGACCAGAATCAAATCCGGGACCCCTTCAGTCCACAGCTCAACCCACTGAACCACACCAGCTAGGGCCCAAGTGAGAATTCTTGTTTTGTTGGTTTTTGGTTGTTGTTGTTGTTGTTTTGAGAGTGCATTTATTAAAGTTGGGGACAGTGAATCAAGGAAGGGCTTAGGCTAGAAGAAGCAACTGGGAAGAGCCTGAAGAGAGCTTTGGCTCACTGGGAAGTCAAAGAAAAGCAGGCCTTGGAGACAGGTCAGGGGGATTAGCCCAGAAAGAGCTGCCACTGCCCATTGCTCCTTTGGCTGCAAGTCTCCTGGGGACCCTGAGATGGGGAGAAAAGGGATGGGTGTGCTTCTGGGAGGGAGAGTGCTCAGAGTTCATATTTTAAATGCTAATTCCTTTTCTGCTGTCAGTGTTCTTCATTCAAAAACCATCTATGGAGTCCTAGTACTTGTGTATATTAATATAATATAAACATGAAAACACTGCCTCAGCCTTTGACGGGCCTATCTGATTTAGAGTTCTGAAAATACAATTGGTCACAATAATCATAGGTACTCAAAATTTTTTAATTTATTATGCCAAAAGTATCAATGTTAGATACACAGCTTCTTCATGGAACCTCTCTGTACATATAAACAATAATGTCTGTACTAAATATAGGTAGAAAATGTTAAACCTTACAAAGCTTGAAAATAGAGTAAACTTTAGCAAATTTTGGTCACAGAATAGAATGTTACAATTTCTCATCTAAAAATAAAAATGAAATGACATTGTTAGAAATTTGTACTCAAAAAGATAGGAGAGACATGTCATTAAACAAGAAAAACATAGGAAGAATCATCCTATATGGCAAGAAGGGGACAATGGCAAATTTTAAATGACTAAGCTTTGAGTGTGACTTCAGAGGACTCTTTAAACCTAAAATCTAAACTAACAAATTGGTTTGTGATGGACAGGAAATTATTATAAATTTAGTTAAATCTTTCTTTTTTTTTTAATCCTCACCAGAATATATCTTTCCATTGATTTTTAAAGAGAGTGGAAGGGAGAGGAGAGACAGAGAGAGAGAAACATCGATGTGAGAAAGACACATCCATTGGTTGCCTCCTGCACGTATCCCAACCAGGGCCAGGGATTGTGCCTGCAACAGAGGTGTGTGCCCTTGAACACAATCGAACCAGGACCTTTCAGTCTGCAGGTCAATGCTCTATCTACTGAACCAAACTGGCTAGGGCAAATATTTCTTTTGTGTACAGATTTATTGAGATATAATGGATAAAGAGCAGTTTTCTCAGTTGCTTTGGGGATTTACAGGGAAAATATAGTAATCATCTGACTGCATCTTTGGGTTCATAGAATTGCCCTGGCTCCCTGCCCTGGGAAGAGATGCAAATAAAATAAATCATGCAGTCTTAGAATTTCTGAGTTTAAAGTTGTGTTTTAAAATATTTTAATTGTTTTTTGTTTTTTGAGAGAGAGAGGATGGGAGAGGGAGAAAGAGAAACATTGATGTGAGAGCTGAATATCCATCAGCTGCCTCCTGCCCGCCCCTACTGGGGATCAAGCCACAGGTACGTTTGTGCCCTGACCAGAAATCGAACCCACAACTTTTTGCTGCATAGGACGATGCTCAAACAACAGCTATACTGGCTCCAGTGAGTTTAAGTTTTTCTGTGCAGTGAAGCAACCCTTATTTTACAAAATCACTGTTCATGCCAGTTGTTAGGCCAAACCATGCAGTTTACAGAAGATTTTGCATTTTATTTTTTTAAATATATTTTTATTGATTCCAGAGAGGAAGGTGAGAGGGAGAGAGAGAGATAGAAACATCAATGATGAGAGAGAAACATTGATTGGCTGTCTCCTGCATGCCCCCTGCTGGGGATCAAGTCCACAACCAGGGCATGTGACTTTGACCAGAATCGAACCCGAGACCCTTCAGTCTGCAGGCTGATGCTCTATCCACTGAGCTAAACCATCTAGGGCTAGATTTTGTATTTTTTTTAAATATATTTTATTGATTTTTTACAGAGAGGAGTGGAGAGGGATAGAGAGTTAGAAACATCGATGAGAGAGAAACATCGATCAGCTGCCTCCTGCACACCCCCTACTGGGGATGTGCCCGCAACCAAGGTACATGCCCTTGACCAGAATTGAACCTGGGACCTTTCAGTCCGCAGGCAGACGCTCTATCTACTGAGCCAAACCGGTTAGGGCTAGATTTTGTATTTTAACATTTGGATATAATTTGATATTTTCTAGAATAGATTTTTTTCCAGCTTTATTGAAATATAATTTATATTAGAGTTGAATTTTATCTACCAAACCCCAAAAGTGTAGTGCAAAGAAAGAGTGCTGGCTTAGGATTAAAGAAGGTCAGGGTTCAATCCTGGAAGGGCACGTGCCAGGGATGCAGGCATTCTCAGATAAATTTGCTGGGGGTGGGGAGGGGGGAGAATGAATAAGCTTGGAAAAGTCATAACTTTCCTGTGCCTTAGTTTCCTGTTGTACACAACCCTATTTCAGAGGTTTGTTGTGAAGATGGAATGAATGAGTTAATGTGTGCAAAGGAGTTTCAAAAAGTAAATAATGAGAGGCAGTGTAATATACTATTTTTTCTTGTGCATAAATATTACGCTTTTCTCATTTATAATTATAATCTGTGTGAAGATAAAAGGCTAAATAATTCCAGAAGAGCCATAGATGATCCCAAGAGGTGATGAGCTTTCAGGTTCTTAGGTTTTCAGTAGACTGGAAAGCAGGCCGTACAATGAAAGAGTTTATGCTTTAGTGTCAGACATGAATGTGAATCTCATCCTTAGCACGTTCTAGACTAGCTTTGTTACCCTGAGTAAGTTATTTAAACTTTTCTGCGTCTGAGTTTCCTTATCTGTAAAATAGGGATAAGGATATCGTGTTTTGCAGGGTAGTGTGAGAATTAGAGATAACGTATGTATCATATGCTATATAAACTACATGCTTAGGAACTTGGGTTGAAATGTCCCCACCTTTGCCCTGTTGCCAATATTTTCTTTTTTTAAAATATATTTTTATTGATTTTAGAGAGGAATAGAGAGGAGGGAAGGCAACATCAATGATGAGAGAGAATCATTTTTTGGCTGCCTTCTGCACACTCCCTACTGGGGATCAAGCCTGCAACCCGGGTATGTGCCCTTGACCAAAATCGAACCCCGGACCCTTCACTCCACAGGCTGATGCTCTATTCACTGAGCCTAACTGGCTAGGGCACTGTTCCTAATTTTTTTTAAATATATTTTATTGATTTTTTACAGAGAGGAAAGGAGAGAGATAGAGAGTTAGAAACATCGATGAGAGAGAAACATCGATCAGCTGCCTCCTGCACATCCCCCACTGGGGAAGTGCGCGCAACCCAGGTACATGCCCTTGACTGGAATCGAACCTGGGACCTTTCAGTCCGCAGGCCGACGCTCTATCCACTGAGCCAAACCGGTTTCGGCTGTTCCTAATATTTTTATCCTCTTATCAAACTCAAGGAGTTTGCCACTTGAAGTGCTCTATTCAAGAACGAGAGATGGTTGTCCTAAGGTAGTTTGATTTACTTGCAACAAATAAAGGAGGTAGGGGATTCATAGCCCAAGCTTTTGCCTCCTCGAAAGGAGGCTTAACCATTGCATACATTCACTATTTTGTCAATTACACTGTTGATTTCTTCTTTGCCTTGGCTGATTGAGTTCCTATCAAGCTCACTGTTCATAGCTGGTTTGCAAAATACTGTGCTACATTTTCTTTAATTTTATTCTCTGGACTACATTTAAAAAAATGTTTTTATTTTAACATAAGTAATTCAGTCTTTTCTTTTTTTTAAATCTTTGCTAGAGGGTATTTTATCCATTGATTTTTAGAGAGAGTGACAGAGAAAGGGAGAGACAGAGAAACATCCATGTGAGAGAGAGACCTGGATTGGTTGCCTCCTGCATGAGCCACGACTAGGGCCCTGGCCAGGAAGGAGCTTGGAACCAAGGTACATGCCCTTGACCGGAATCAAACCCAGGACCCTTTGGTCCTCAGACAGAGGCTCTATCCACTGAGCTAAACTGGCTAGGGCTCTGGGCTACGTTTTAACAGCAAGAATAGCATTGCCCTAGCCAGTTTGGCTCAGTGGATAGAGCATCAGCCTGCAGACTGAAGGGTCCTCCGTTTGATTCCAGTCAAGGGCGCAAGCCAGGATTGTGGGCTCCAACCCCAGTGGGGGGGGGGGGGGGGGTGCCGGAGGCAGCCGATCACTGATTCTCTCTCATTATTGATGTTTCTCTCTCTCTCCCTTCCTCTCTGAAATAAAAACAAAATAACAACAAAGAATAGCATTTAGTAAAAACCACCCAGACTTTGAGGCCCGTGTCCTATCTAATGCGCTGTAGTTGAAAATATTAGGTGCGCGGGTGCCTGAGGTACCTGAGAGTGTTTGTTCAAAGAATTATCAATAAAGTTTTGAATTAAAAAAATTCTCCTACCTCCGTTTGCATAAAGCTTAGATCAAATGGGGAAACGAAGAGGTTATCGCGAGAATATGGAAGATCGCGTTTTGTGCTTGGGGCCTGTTCTCGCGTTGTTTGATCAAGCAGTAGAAGTAAAGGGAAAGCACTAAATACCGCGAGCTTAGTATTCTCGCGATATTTCCAGGGCTAGCCCCCTCCCCCTCCTCCGAGTGCCGTTTCGGTTTAACCTAGTGTGGGATTGAGTCTGTGAGGGAGCGATTGAGTGTGTGAGGTACTGAGGTGAGGCGGAGGCAAGAAAAGGAACTCCCTCAGGAGCGAAGGACAAAGGGTGTGTGAGGCACCTAGGCCGCGGGACCTGAGCGACAGGAAGCCACTCCAAGTCGGGCTACCGGTAGGGGAAAGGCCCGTGCGGTCCTCATTGGGCTCCCGAGCCGGAGTCGGCCCCGCAGCCCTGGGCCGTCGGCTTCCTACTTCCTCGACCTCGCCGGCCCCTGTGCCTGAGGATTGGCGCCGCGTGGGGAGGAGGGCAAACGGACTTGAGCAGCTGCTCGTTGTCTCGCAACCCCACTGCTGAGGAACTCTCGTTTCTTCCCTGGCTCCTTCACCCCTACCTCATGTAGGAGGGTGCCGAGGAGTCGGGAGGGAGGAGGGGCCTGCGCCGCGGTCCCTTCCCTCCCCACCCCCTGCTAGGGGTGCTGTGGTAGGCGTGGGGTTGGGATTGGGGGGAGGGTGGGGGTTACTTTTTGGAGTGCTGGGGAACTTTTCCCCCTGTTGAAGCCAGGGGAAAGGGGATGCCCAACCCAGAGAGACATGGGGGCAAGAAGGACGGGAGCGGAGGAGCTTCTGGAACTTTGCAGCCGTCATCGGGAGGTGGCAGCTCCAACAGCAGAGAGCGTCACCGCTTGGCGGCGAAGCACAAGCGGCACAAGTCCAAGCACTCCAAAGACATGGGTTTGGTGACCCCCGAAGCAGCACCTTTGGGGACAATTATCAAACCTTTGGTGGAGTATGATGACATCAGCTCTGATTCAGATACCTTCTCTGACGACATGGCCTTCAAATTAGATAAGAGGGAGAATGATGAACGTCGTGGAACTGATCGGAGTGACCGCTTGCACAGACATCGTCACCACCAGCACAGACGTTCCCGGGACTTACTAAAAAGTAAACAGACAGAAAAAGAAAAAAAACAGGAAGTTTCCAGTAAGTCGGGATCAATGAAGGACCGGATATCAGGAAGTTCAAAGCGTTCAAATGAGGAGAATGATGACTATGGGAAGGCACAGATCTCAAAAAGCAGCAGCAACAAGGAATCCAGGTCATCCAAACTCCACAAGGAGAAGACTCGGAAAGAACGTGAGTTGAAGTCTGGGCACAAAGACCGGAGTAAAAGTCATCGGAAAAGGGAAACACCCAAAAGTTACAAGACAGTGGACAGCCCCAAACGGAGATCCAGGAGTCCGCACAGGAAATGGTCTGACAGCCCCAAGCAAGATGATAGCCCCTCAGGAGCTTCTTATGGCCAAGATTATGACCTTAGTCCTCCAAGATCTCACACCTCCAGCAATTATGACTCCTACAAGAAGAGTCCTGGAAGCACCTCAAGAAGGCAGTCTATTAGTCCACCTTACAAGGAGCCTTCAGCCTACCAGTCCAGCACCCGGTCACCCAGTCCCTACAGTAGACGACAGAGATCTGTGAGTCCCTATAGCCGGCGACGTTCCTCAAGCTATGAAAGGAGTGGCTCTTACAGTGGGAGATCACCCAGTCCCTATGGTCGAAGGCGATCCAGCAGCCCTTTCACCAGCAAACGGTCTCTGAGTCGGAGTCCGCTCCCCAGGTGAGCTATTTGTCTAACAGTCCTTTCTTTCTTAGGGTGGGTTATGAGAAACTGGCAATTAGTAATGTTAGGTTGATGTTCCCATTATTCATTGACTAGAACACTTTACTATTGGCTAATCAATCACTCAAGTGAGTGAATCTGGTCTCCTCTTAACCCAGAGTTTGAAAAGTGGAGAGTTACATGTCTAAGACTGCTAAAGGTAGGTACTTCCAGTGACAGGGTCTTCAGCTGTAAGCTGCTGTGAAAGAAAAATTATGCATGGAGTTGATACTGGTTTCCAAAGCTTATCTGTTTTTCTGTTCCTTTGTTTTAAATTTTTAAAAAATCACATTGGTATTAGTGCTTGAGACCTCATTGAACCTGATAGAGATGTAAGAAATTACAGATTTTCATTTGTATTATCTTGAAGCTATTTGCCTAGCCCTAGTGAATTACCCATTTGGGTACTAGGCTTTGGGCTTTAGAGTTTGGCCTCAGTGGGAGACTCCTGCCTCCAGCCTCAGGCCTACGGCCTCCCTCACTCCCAGTCCAGCCCCTCCTGTTCCCATGGTGATGTAGGACAACAAATTAGAGCAAGTTGCTTTTCAACTGCAACCCCTGCAGAGCTGCTACTGCCCTCTGGAGAAGGCCATACCACCCCCTAAGCCCTGGGGCCTAGGTCATTTACCATTTGTTCTGCCCGTTGTCTTCAAACTTGTTAAATTTACTTATTTCCTAGTAGACAACTTACAAAAGGCTCCTGTCTTTTCACAGATATTTCTAGTGGAAATTCAGCTGATTCGTGCTTTTTCCTTTTGATGGTAGAGCCTATTTTCCAGAAATTGGTTCCAATGATAATTTGATTTTCTTTATAGCACCATCATTGACCTATTAAAGATTTGCTGTATTCTGTGACCACTGGCAATTTTAAAAATGTTTCTGAAAAAATGGTAATAGTGCTTTACTGTGTTATTTTTGCAAGAAAGACGTTAGTTTGAAATTTAATTGTTAGAGTGTTCTTGTTCGTAGATGATGAAATTGTACCTCTCTCTTTGTGGACTCACCTTTGTCCACAAAAGCAGAACATGGGCTTTGGAGTTACACCTGAGTGGAGTCCTAATCTTGCTGTGTGTCCTTTGGCAAATAATTTCTCCATGCCCAAGTTTTTTCATGTGTAAAATGGGAATAATAACGACCAACTTCTAGAGCTGTTGTGAGGATTAAATTAGTAAATATGAAGTGCATAGTACAGTGCCTGGAACCTGAAGCCAGTCAGTAAATTCTATGAGTAAGGAAAATGTTGAATACTTCTAGAGAAATTACTTTAACTTGAAAAAACCCATGCATATCTTTTATATGTCAATGTGAGTAATTTCTGTCAACTTATATTTATAAGTATTCATAAATTAGTTTTAATTGATCAAGTCTGCCGAGTTCCTAGTTGTCAGGGTCCGAAGTTCGTTAGTTTTTCACTCCATTTCATAATAATTTTTCAAAAACAGAAAGTTTAAAGAATTGTAGTAAGGACCCATACATATACCACCTACATTCTACAGTTAATATTTGCTATATATTTTATATCTATCCATCGATTCACCTTTTGTTTTGATTTAAAGTAAATTGCTGACATCAGTATACTTCACTATAAAATTTTTATTTAGCCTGTGTATCATTAGCTAGAGGTCATCAGCTAATGAGGAGTAAAATTTATATGCAGGGAAGTGGATATCTTAAGTATACCATTTGAAAGTTTAGTTTTTTAAGGAACACTAAGAAATGAAATATTTTCAAAGTTTTTCTTTTGTTTAAGTGAAAGAGTTTATTAGTGAAGCAGTACACAGAAAGTGGCTATTCCACAGACAGTAACCAAATACTTGTTTTCTTGAGGGAGTAGTTTAATAAAGCTGTTCTGAGAATTTTTATTGTGGGGTTTGGGAATACAGAAGTGCATTAGGGCTAAAACACTGAAATGAGTTTCAGTAAGAACTGTGGTTTTGCAGTGATTCCTTTTGGATTCATATCTTAAGTTTTCTTCTATTCAGTTAATTGGAACTAGTGCAGAAATGGTTAAAATAAATCAAGAAAGAATTGGAGACACATTATAATAGTATAGGAAATAAATATAAGTACCTCATTATAACCTTAGAGTCAAATGCACATTTTTAGTTGTAGAGAGCATCATATGTTTGAATTGTGCATTATATATTTTTCCTCATTTGTTGGAATTCCAAACAGTAAGTATAAAACTTTCTTAGAGTCAGAGTAAAGGAACATACAGATCCTTCTATGGTATTCTCTGTGTTTTTTCCTTGGGAGAGAGTCAAAATTAAACAAGCAGCGTTGTTTTAAAAGACAAAATGCATGGGCAGAAATGCAAGGTCTTTGTATTTACCAAATTAGTAGTGATGAATAGTAGCAATTTCATTTCAGATGGGTGGAACCTAACTTAATTCAGGGGGAAAGTATATTTAGTTTTGAAGACAAATTTTTTTTTATTACCTGACTTTACCTATTTGCTGTCTCCCCCCTTTAAAAATATTTTTATTGATTTCTGAGAGGAAGGGAGAGGGAGAAACAGAAACATCAATGATGAGAGAGAATCATTGATTGGCTGCCTCACACTGGGGATTCAGCCCACAACCTGGGCATGTGACCTGACTGGAAATCCGTCCCTGACCTCCTGGTTCATATGTTGAAGCTCCACCACTGAACCATGCTGGCAGGGCCTGTCTCTCCCCCCCTTTTTTTTCCTTGAAGACTGGGTCTGCATCTCAAATACAACATGTATATCAGAAAAAATACCTTAAGTATATGGCCATCAAATGTCCCATTAACAATAGGCTTCTATTCAGAAATTCAAGGACTTTTAAAGCAAAGTTCCTTAGAAAGATTTAGTCATGCTGAAAAGATTATAGAAACAATGCTTTGTATAGCATGGTCTCTGACATTACTTAGTGTTTGGGATTTTAGAAGTTTTTCCTGGGATCGAGGTGTTAATTTTATACCAGCTATAATTCAAACTGAGAAAACCTCTTGTTTCAGCCAGTTTTTTACAAGTGAAGTATTAATTTTCTTAAGGATAAGTGGGTATTTGATAAATCCACTTAAATACTCTCAGTAGTTTACATACATACATACATACATACATACATTGTTGTTTTGGGTACTTTGATTCTAATAAAGACTTTATATTTTAACTAAGTTTTGGGGGCAAATTTCCAAAGAGCAGTATACGTATAAGAAAATCATGGCTAATACCATGTGAGTTGTTTTCACTACACATATATGCTATTTGTTTTGGAATGTTTTGATTCATGTCAGTCTTACCAGTGATCAAAGATAAAGGGAGATACTGAAGATCTGGAATGGGAACAATTTGTTTTAGACTGCTGAGCAAATTATGTTTTGTCTAATTACATTTTAGTGCTAATTTCCCCCATATACACTTACACACCTTGAAGCCTAAGCACATTAGGGTTTTTCAAAAAGCAAAAGGGCCCTCACTGGTTTGGCTCAGTGGATAGAGCATTGGCCTGTGGACCCTGGGTTTGATTCCGGTCAGGGGCATGTGCCTGGGTTGCCGGCTCGATCCCCAGTGGGGGGCACGTAGGAGGCGGCCGATTGGTGATTCTCATCATTGATGTTTCTATCTCTCTCTCTCTCTGTCATCCTCTCTGAAATCAATAAAAATATATTTAAAAAAAATAAAGCAAAAAGAGTGCAGCCAGCATGGCTCAGTGGTTAAGCATTCAACCTATGAACCAGGAGGTCACAGTTGGATTCCCCATCAGGTCACATGCCTGGGTTGTGGGCTGGATCGGGAGGCAGCCGATCAATGATTCTCTCTCATCTCTCTCTCTCTCTGTCATCCTCTCTGAAATCAATAAAAATATATTTAAAAAAAATAAAGCAAAAAGAGTGCAGCCAGCATGGCTCAGTGGTTAAGCATTCAACCTATGAACCAGGAGGTCACAGTTGGATTCCCCATCAGGTCACATGCCTGGGTTGTGGGCTGGATCGGGAGGCAGCCGATCAATGATTCTCTCTCATCCTTGATGTGTATTGAAGTTCTATCTCTCTCTCCCTCTCTCTCCCTCTCTCTCCCTCTCTCTTCCTCTCTCTTCCTCTCTCCTCCTCTCTGAAATCAATAAAAATATTTTTTTAAAAGAGGAAAGAATGAGGGTTGGGTTTCAATTTAGAATAATCTGCCTCATAGTTTCTAAAATTTTACTTCCCAACCCTTTCTTAATAATGAAAATAAAATGAAAGTGCAATAATACCTCGCTTTACGAGTTCCTAAAATGTTGATTAGAAATCATTTTATATTTGAAAGTACCAGAAGCCATTATGGTTTGAGAACTTTTAATAAATTATTTTGGTAAGACAGTTCTTGCATCTTGGGGGTTTGTTTAGGCACAACTTAATTATAAATTGAGGATACAAGGAACAAAAATTTTTTCCTGGGATCTGTCAATTAAGTAGTTCTCTAGTTAAAAACTTAGATTTTGGGCCTGGCTGATGTGGCTTCAATTGTTGAGCGTCATCGACCCATGCACCAATAGGCCACCAGTTCTGTTCCTTGTCAGGGCACATACCTGGGATGCAGGCTCGATCCCCAGCATGGGGCATGCAGGAGGCAGCCAATCAGTGTTGATGATTCTCTCTCATCTATGTTTTTATCTCTCTCTTCCTCTCTAAAATCAATAAAAACATTTTAAAAATGTTATATTTTGGTGAAGCATGCTTGTTACTTTTAATTTCTTGATTGATATATCCCCCCTTTGGTATAAAGTATGACTTTTTAAATCATGTTTTCACTTTATCAGAAATTTAAACCAAAATTCTAAAAGTAAACATTGTGAATATTGGTATTTCCTAACATGGGGAAAAAATATCGATCTTCCTTTGGTTAAATAATTTTTAGTGTTATATGATAGAAATGTATTGTCATACAGGATTTAGTTCCTATTAAACTTTTTTTAGAATAGTTTTAGATTTACAGAAAAATTGTGAAGATAGTGTATAGTTCTTTCTTTTTTTTTTTTTTTAAATACATTTTATTGATTTTTTACAGAGAAGAAGGGAGAGAGATAGAGAGTTAGAAACATCGATGAGAGAGAAACATCGATCAGCTGTCTCCTGCACATCTCCCACTGGGGATGTGCCCGCAACCCAGGCACATGCCCTTCACCGGTATCGAACCTGGGACCTTTCAGTCCGCAGGCCGACGCTCTATCCACTGAGCCAAACCGGTTTCGGCTAGTGTATAGTTCTTATATGTCCTGATACCCAGTTTCCCCATTAACATCTTATATTAGTATGATACATTTGTTACAATTAAACCAATTAATGAACCAATGTTGATTTATTATTGTTTGACAACTATTTTAAGATTGCTAATTTAAAGTGTTTTTTTTTTTTAAGTTATAGTTCTCCATAGTTTAACTGATCTATTTTCCTTTATTTTGCTATAGCCTATCCATTGAACTGTCTTTTTCTTTTTCCATTAGGAAGTCCATGAAGTCTAGAAGTAGAAGTCCTGCATATTCAAGACATTCATCTTCTCATAGTAAAAAGAAGAGATCCGGGTCACGTAGTCGACATTCCAGTATCTCACCTGTCCGACTTCCATTGAACTCCAGCTTGGGAGCTGAACTCAGTAGGAAAAAGAAGGAAAGAGCAGCTGCTGCAGCAGCAGCAAAAATGGATGGAAAGGAATCCAAGGGTTCACCTATTATTTTGACTAGAAAAGAGAACAGTTCAGTAGAAGCTAAGGATTCAGGTTTGGAGTCTAAAAAGTTACCCAGAGTTTTAAAATTGGAAAAATCTGCCCCAGATACTGAACTAGCGAATGTAACACATCTAAACATAGAAGCCAAAAATTCTTTAGATACAGGGAAAGTAAAGGTGGATGAGAACTCTGAAAAGCATCCTGTTCTTAAAGATTTGAAAGTACAGGGATCAAAAGACACTAAACCCATGGCATTGAAGGAGGAGATTGTTACTCCAAAAGAGACAGAGACAACAGAAAAGGAGACCCTTCCACCTCTCCCCACAGTTACTTCTCCTCCACCTCCTTTACCAACTACTACCCCTCCACCCCAAACGCCCCCTTTGCCACCTTTGCCTCCACTACCAGCTATTCCACAGCAACCACCTCTGCCTCCTCCCCAGCCAGCATTTAGTCAGGTTCCTGCTTCTAGTCCTTCAACTTTGCCCCCTTCTGCCCACTCAAGGACGTCTACTCTGTCCTCTCAGGCAAATTCTCAGCCCTCTGTACAGGTTTCTATGAAGACTCAAGTGTCTGTAACAGCTGCTATTCCACACCTAAAAACGTCAACGTTGCCTCCTCTGCCCCTTCCACCCTTATTACTTGGAGAAGATGACATGGATAGGTAAGTCCCATAGTTAACTGAGAAAACTTAACCTGTTGATCTAAGTGTAATACATTTTTCTCAAACTTTGTTAAAACTGCTCTAATGCATGGCTATTTAGAATGTTTTTATGAATAGGTAATGCCTTTGATGTTCAGTTTTCAGTGGAAAAGTCCTTATTTATGATGATACTTAGGAAGAATTATAATTTGAGGCCCAGTAACCCTTTTTCTCATAAGTCCATTTATTGATAAGGCTACTTTGGATTCAAATTTTAAAAAATCAATAGCATTTTCTTTTCAAATCTTTGTGTTGAAAATTTTAGTAGCTATAGAAAATTTTTTTAAATGATACAATTAACACCCTTATACTCTTTACCTAGATCAGTGGTTCTCAACCTTCTGGTCCTTTAAATACAGTTCCTCATGTTGTGACCCCAACCATAAAATTATTTTCGTTGCTACTTCATAACTGTAATGTTGCTACTGTTATGAATCGTAATGTAAATATCTGATATGCAGGATGGTCTTAGGCGACCCCTGTGAAAGGGTCGTTCGACCGCCAAAGGGTCGCGACTCACAGGTTGAGAACCACTGACCTAGATCCACCAGTGGTTAACTTTTGGTCACATTTGCTTTAACTGCAGATATTTGATACTTCTGAGTACTTTAATATGTCTCTAATAATATCAACAACATAGTATAAATAATAACCTATAATGTAAAAGCCTAAGCGACCATTACGACTGAATGACCGATGACTGGCTGGACCAATAGCTATGATGCACACTGACCACCAGGGGACAGATGCTCAATGCGGGGGCTGCCCCCTGGAGGTCAGTGCATTCCCACAGCCAGCCTCCCAACCCCGCTGCTGTCCCTCCCTCACCATGGCTGGCCAACCTCCCGCAGTCCCTCACCCT